TGGCGGAACATAAAATGTAAGCGCGAATTCTATTTGTTTGAATCGGAGGCTTGATCGGCCTGCAACCAATCAGATCGTTTGTTACAGTTTCCACGTTCGGCACATTTCGCGATCATTCGGCGAGCTTGAATTATGACTCGTATGCCTTGGTCGATGAGTGATGCCATTTGTTGATCAAACGTGCAAGAAAACGCAATTTTGAAACAATTCAGGAGTTACCGGTACTATCGATATTTATTATATATTTGGTCTTACAATCATACTAAATAATGGAACGTTTTTTTTTTTAAATATAAATTTATGGTCGGTCACAAGGACTGATGGTCTTTCACAGCTCTAGGCCCTTTACACCCACTGTCGGCGTGAGGCCGACGGACTGACGTTAATTTAATTTCGAACACTGGGCGCATTTAAATCATTGAAAAAGATAGTCAGATTCCGGAGTCAGGTGTCTAACAAAAGTCGAGAAAATATTTTCAATACTTGTGACTCATTGGTGAATTATTTTATTCGAAATAAAGTGAATATGTAATATTAACCATACAATAACATACAATATCATGCGTAATGTAAAATTTTTCTATAATAAACTTGCAGCGCACTTCGATCGCATTATTCGCGTACATTTTGACTGAACTCTAATAACCACGTGTTTGAATTATGTGCGGCAATGGGCAATGACCTCAATGAGTTCATGCACTGACATTTAAATTCAGGCCACCCAGCTTGACGCAAAACCATATAGTTACTTAACATTTGTTCGAAAAATCGGTAAACTCTCGCGAGTTAACTGAAAGGCAACGTCGTTTTTGACCAAAAAAAAAAACACGTCAATACAATATTATGTGTGCGAGGTTAGATTTATAGAACGTACATGACCGCTTAACTTTTTTTTAATAATCATGTCGCACGTGAAACACAGGAAACATTTCAGTTCGTCCATTTCTTGTTTACCGATCTTGAACTTTTTGTCTAGAATGCGATACAGGCAAAGAATAAACATTAATGATACCCACCATTGTCAAATCAACAAGAGGCTCGAATCAGGAAGGCTCGACTATTTAAAACTTCGTAAATAACATTCTTTTCATGTGGTAGACTTTATTCAAGTGTAATAATACTCGTAGCTTCGAAAGTTACGACTTTTAATCTTGGAATAGGTGATAAATACATGCATAAAATACAACATTGTTTCACGCAACAACAATTCGTATACAACATTGGACTTATAGATTTTTATATTAATAAAATACGTGGGCCGATAATATTACCATATGCCAGTGATGCTCGTAACCTGCTCGATTTAAAAACAGCTATTTGAAACAAAGACTCATGGAATCACAAAGGAAACTGTTAAGTATGTATTTCACACCTTTCCTACGACCGTGGTTGCAACTGGTACCGGTGGCCACCGCGGTAAAGACCCCTAATTATAAGCAGTCCGCGGCTCTCCCCGGTGTACCGCAGAGAGCCGCGGTGATTACCGCGGTGAACCGCTCGTTTGATTTCCTACTCTCCCCTTAGTTAGCAACATCTTGAATTAGTGAAATTACAGATTAGTTAAATTAGCTAAATAACATGCTAGCTAGAAAGTATTTTTACAGTAGTTTAAATTTTACTTCATGAAACTGCATCCATAAAGCTATTGACATGTGAAGTAATATTATACTGGGATAAATGCAACAGTTAAATTCTAAGAAGATAGTTTGTATTTAGGTTGTGATTGAATTTTCAGCATCTGAGGATGTTATCAGGTCACTAAAATCGCATCTTGGGTGCTCTATTGGGTTTACTGTATCACCATAAGGTCCCTTATATTTGAATTTGTTGCGCCATTATCATATTACAACTACATTTGAGTGAACTTCAAATATCGAACATTACTCATTTCCTTCAAGTTGATTAGTTGTGTTTAGCGTGTACATTTGTACCCCAGGCACAAATTGAATAGCAATGCGTCACTGTTGACTGGATTTATTTAAATTTTGATGGAAAATTTGCTTTCTAGCAACATAATAGAATGAATAGTGTATGTCCACTGTAAATTGGACAATACTTCACCTTTTTTACTTTGTTTATATTGTAGGTATGAATTACCGCAGCCACTACCAGGAAGACAGAATGATTTGCTAGCTTGGAATGAATGTATAGACAATTCAATGGCACAGTTAGAGCATCAATCTACTAGGTTTGTATTGATTTTCAAATAATTCACATGCTACATGTATATAATAATATAAGGTTACTGTAGAATACTTTATTTTCGCATGGAATTAATTTTTGCTATAGAAGGATTCAGTGAAAATAAAATCCAGCGAATATACCCTTTTTCCTATATTTTACATTTTACTTGTCAAAAATCAGTGAAAATAAATTCCATACAAAGCATCAAAAATGTCTTTTCAGCGAAAATCAATTCCAGCGAAAATAAAGTATTTTACAGTATTACAAGGATACCTCAAATTATGCTCGAAGACAGTACAGCGAGAGTATCAGTGGGACTGTGTACTGTCTTCGTGCATACTTTGAGGTATCCCCCTAATAACCTTATTATTACACATTTTTTTCTTCCAAAGATACATCATGGGAATGTTGAAATCCAAAAAGTTTAGAACAGAATCAATCAGAGAACTTTTTTTGTGTGGAGTCCGGTCAAACCCTGGTGGCAGCCATGTTTGTTTTTTATTATTAGAGGTTGCTTACGATCATTCCATATTTGGAATTCACAATATGGTAGGATTAAAATACCCTGTAAAATACCTCAAAGTTACGACACGCTGTAACTTATTGCGTTACGGTGACAGATGTATAATAATTATCAGTATTTACAAAATTATGTCCCTATCCCCTATGCCCCGCTTGCAGTCAGGCAAAAAAAACATTACTATTTTTTTTAAACAGTCACTCACTCACTCGCAAGCGGCTTGTTAGTTTTATTTGTATGCAGAAATTATCGTTAATTTAGATTTTTTGAAAATTCTGTAGAAAAATAATTGATGCGTTTGACTACTAGAAACTTGAATAAACACTAGTTTATTATGACTAAGGGATGATCTCATATTCAAACACCTGGGTCAAACCTGGGTTAACCTGGCCTGCCCGATTCAGACCTACTAGACCTAAAATATGCAAATTAGTAGTAGGTTTGAACCAAACCTCCGGATTAACTGCCCATTAATGCCCCCACTGAAAACAAACAACAGAGAACAAAGAAGACAGACCTAGGAAAACCTAGGTTTTTCTTACAATACTGTTTCAGCCTGGTTTCAGTAGGAAAAAAAATAAGATGTATACTATGAGCTCCATGTTCATACTGAGTGTTATATTTCGAAGTGTTAAGAATTACAGCAGCGATTTTTTTTCTTTGCAAGTCTTGTACATGTAAATGCTAATAAAAACAAACTTGCATTTGTTTCACAAATCTATTTACATCATGTCATTTATAAGTAAAGTGTGATGAAAATTATATTCATTTATTTCTGTGATTGGTAATAATAATCAGTTTCCCACAACTTACATTTTGGTACAAGTCAATACAATTGTTATTGTTATTCAATTTATCTGGAATTAATTACAGACGTGATGGTTTGTTATATTTTGTCATTAAATTTG